ATCAGGGAAGTTTAGTTATATACCTTCAACCACATGGCTAAGTAAGGGGTACATCTGGGAGCACAACTAGGGAATTCTAAATACATATAAATGGTGTTCTTTTCATTACAAGTTTATCTGACAGAGAGAGAGAAAAAAGTGCATGTGCCCATGAGCAGGGAAGGGACAGAGAGAGACGGAGAGAGAGAAGGAGAGAGAGAGAGAGATTGAGAGAGAGAGAGACTGAGAGAGAGAGAGAGAGAGAGAGAGAGGGAGGGAGGGAGAGAGAGGGAGAGAGAGAAAGAATCCCAAGCAGGCTCCACACTATCTGTACAAAACCCAACTTGGGGCTCAATCCCATGAACTGAGAGATCATGACCTGAGCTTAAATCAAGAGTCCGATGCTTAACCAACTGAGCTGCCCAAGCACTTTTCCCATTAAAGGTTTTTATTTAAATTTTTGTATTTTTATCTGTTCATTTCATCTATATGAAATAAAATAAATTATTGTTTTTGATTATTGTTCTACCTAAAATCCTGAGCCCTCTTTTTTTATTCTAGCCACCACACAAAGATACACTGTATCTTCTACTGCAAAGCAAAATAAATTCAAGCTTTGGCTTGCTGCAGGTAATGAGAAAAGGAATACCTTGGTTATAAACCCTGACCCTCAGTCTACAAACATATTTAAGATTATCAACTTTCTAAGACAAAAGAGTAAATGATAATGTTATTATTGAATTGATGGTATATAATGAATCACCATCTTAATGATACAATATATTCTTTTTATACCATTTCTATAGTTGATTTATGGTCAACATCATTTACAACCAAACTGAGACATGAAATCCACTGTATTATCAATATTAAATAACCACTACCATCTACCTCCTCACCATGTAAGTTCCATGAGAGTTAGTATTAGTTTTTCATTCTATAATTTTTATCTGGCTTGCAGTTGGCTCTCAAGAAAAATATGTTGATAAATGAATGAATAAATTAATAAGCTTTCTAAAAGGAAAACTAATCCAAACAGTGGATCTAAAAATGTATTAACTTCCCAAAAAGTAAACAAAGGAGATCTAGTCCAGAGGGATTCACTTGGCCACCAAAGTTAACTGAAGAAACAAATGAGTCTTAATAGTACAATTACAGTATTCTTTTCAACAAAGTACTTGCTCCTTTTCCATTTTGCCCTTTCCCTGAAATCTCTCAACAGGTTACTCTTTGTTTCCCTAGATTCCTTATGCATAAGAAACTTCTACAACAACTCCTCTGTTCATTTCTCTAGAAACACCAAGCAAATGTTCAAAGATATCAAATCAAGTTCACTATCGTAAGATCATAAAAAGGCCATCAGCAAATATACACATTAGGCTCTTATAAGTTAGTATTAGTATTACTTTATAAAATGAACTCAAAAACAATCCCAGTAATTCACCATGCTTTTCAGTATTTTCATTTTCTTTGGATGCAGCTGCTCTCCAACTCCCTTCAAAATATAAAATCTCACATTTACCAAAATAGCAGCTTCTAGCAATCTTACATTGATTAAATCAAAACATTCCTTTTATTGCTGCTATATTCAATATTATTTTCTACACTGTTTCTCTAAAATCTAGGTAAAAAGTACTAAAACAATATTATGTTAATTCAAATATTGAGGCTGAAGGAACTTGCTCACCTAATCCGTTCTTTTCTTCACATTTTTAATATGTTTACAATTTAACACTTCAAATGTCTATGCTAAGTTCAAAGTTACCAAATTAAAACTGCAAACTCATTTATATCCTTTTCCTACTTATTATTTAAACATTGGAACTAAAGCATTTTAAAACTATTTTATTTATCAAGTCAAAACTAATATTTTATGAAGTATCACCATTTAGCTTATGTATCATAGACAATACAAAGCACCAGCCTATTATATAAATGCACCTGGTTCTCTCCATACAGTTTTTCTTTAAATTCACTAAAGTGAAATATCTAACTCAAAAACTACAAGAAAAGTATGGATTTAATAAACAGATGAACTTACTGAAAAAATCTTTAAAGACGTTTAACCAATCCATTTTGAATAAAAATCCCGTGTTCTCTTTTGTCAGTCTGTTAACACAGCTCAGGATAATTTCAGTGAGCTTCCTGGTCTGTTCTGCAACACTGAAACTCCCCACACCCAATCCATGTGACTTGGCCCACACCCAGGGAATAGAAAGCCTTTCTGAGGCTTCTCTCCTTCCAAAACTCTTTCCCCTCTGAACTAAAACAAAACCTGTAAAACAAGTATATCATCATGGCCACAAATGTTACCTTATTATTCAGCCTTATTTTGGAAGAAGCTTTAAAGCATGTATTTTCAGTAGTTGAAAATATATTCATGCATTCACGCTTTCCTTTGTTTTCTCCTTTTCTTTCTTAACTTTCAAACAAAGTCTCCACCAGCATAATCATTGTCAAACAAAACCATTAACTACATGGGACATTTAAGTTACCAAAAAGGGGGTTAGAAATACAAAGAGAAGGCAATCTGATACAAAAGGTGGATATACATCATTATATAGGAGAACTAAAAATCATTACAATAAAACAAATGCTTTCAAGTACCCTGCAATATAGGCAGCAATAAATGTAATATAGTAATAAAGTTAACAGAGATATCCTAGAACTTAAAGTCTTGCCAAAATTATCTTAATAATATCAGAAAATAGTATACAAGGTTTCCCAGGAGTGTTAACAAATAATAAAAAATTCTATCCGGTTAGGCTTTTTATATACATATATAAAATTGTTTTTTTTTTTTATTGTCTATTTATTGAGAGAGAGAGAGCATGAGCAGGGAAGGGGCAGAGAGAGAGGAAGAGAGAGAATCCCATGCAAGCTCCACACTGTCAGCACAGAGCCCCATGTAGGACTGGAACTCATGAAACAGGAGATCATGATCTGAACTGAAATCAAGAATCGGACACTCAACAGACTGAGCCACCCAGGTGCCCCTATCTAGTTGGGCTTTATAAATTTATATGCAATAGTACCTAAAAGTGGGATATTTTTCTTCTTTGCTCTATGATATTAAGGTTTTTCGCAATCTTTTGTTTACACATTTGCTCTAGTCCCAGGATACCAGTATCCTTTAAAAAGGAACAAAAAAGTCTATCTAGGTGTAGCCCTAGTCCTTTCTGTGTCTTCATCACTATGAGACATACTTTCTTGATAGAAGTTACTTTAATTTTCCCCAATACTTCTGATCTACATGCTTTAAGTAAGTGTCCAATATTTACAAAATCAGAAGTATTCCTGATTCTAACTCTGGTGTCTTCAGCTAGTCAAGGAAAGTCTTCTGATTTGTCTTCCACTTAAAAAACGAATACTAAAAACTAATAAGGGTGCCTGGGTGGCTCAGTCAGTTGAGTGTCCGACTCTTGATTTCTGCTCAAGTCATGATCTCATGGTTCCTGAGTTCCAGCCCCACATGGGGCTCTGCGCATGGGATCAAGCCCTGTACTGGGCTCTGCACAGAGTGTGGAGCCTGCTTGAGACTGACTCCCCTCCCCCCCCACTCCCCGCCCCTGCTTGTGCTCTCTAAAATTAAAAAAAAAACCTTAATTAAAAAAAAAACTAATAATAATGGTCTCATTTGTAAAACCTTAAAATCATAATAAAAGGTAACCTCAGATACACAGTTAAAAGTTACAGTGAAAATTCAGATTAATAACTCGTTATTAAACTACCTTTAGAATACTGGAAATGTTATTATCACACAAACCAATATTCTAATATTTTATATTTACTTTGAGTTATACTATATTTTAGTTTTTGCTATTTGTCTTCTATTGCTGATAACTGAAAGAACACTCTAGTCTAGAATAACAATGTTTAACAAGAAATAAAATACAAAGCAGTTAGTCAATTAGATTTCATATTTGTTAATCATGCCACATTATTCCCAAAGTATCTCTGCAAGGAAAAATTTTACTTTCTCTTCTACATATAGACAAAGAACCACTAAGTAACAGCATGTTTGCCTGAATACCAAAAATGAAATTCTGTCCCTCCCAATTCCTTCCTGTCAGCCAAGGAGAGTTTAAATTAAAAGAAAAAAGAGGCCAGTCCTCATCTGTGCATATTTCCTTCCTATCAGCTCAGCCAAGCCCAGTGTGAAATGGGTTCCATTATCTCTGGTGCTAATGGAGGGCTAGTAAAAACAAACTACAGTTAGAGGCAAAAAAGAAAAACAAAATAGGAAAGACATCAGTTTGGTATATGCTAATCTACAGTAATGATTCACAATTTAAAACTCTCATCAAATGGCAGAATAAAATGATGGTTTGTTTTTGAGAGCAAAATTTGAAATGTAAGCTATTAAAGGTTAAAATACAGCAATATGCCAAGTTAAATAAGTTGCCTTAACGCCATGGAAGCAATTCTAAATCTCCCTCATTTATCCTTGTCTCACTTAAATGCAGAATCTACCTACACTCCAACAGGCACTCATGGTTCAAGGAGTACAGGCTAGAAGTCAGTTCTGCTATTTAGCACCACTCTGGTTTGGCCCTTGAACATCAGCTAGATTTATAGAAAATACCCACTAACACTTATGACCTTTAACAGTCTTCTGACTTGAATACCTGCTACAAGCCAAACTTACCTGGCCTACCTGAAATTCTAGTCCTGGTCTTCTCTGGTCAATTCTGCCCACTGCTGCCAAAATTCTGTACAAAAAAACAAGCTCTAGCATCCATTTAAAAGAAAGTATTGTTGGGGTGCCTGGGTGGCTCAGTCAGTTAAGCATCCGACTTAGGCTCATGTCATGATCTCGCTCATGGTTTGTGAGTTCAAGCCTCGCGTTGGGCTCTGTGCTGACAGCTCGGAGCCTGGAGCCTGCTTCAGATTCTGTGTCTCCCTCTCTCTCTGTCCCTCCCCCGTTCATGCTCTTGTCTCTCTCTCAAAAATAAATACAAATTAAAAGAAACTATTAAAAAAAAAAAGTATTGTTGGTGTTTTAATACAAAATAACTTACCTAAGGTATCCTTTAGGTTTTTTACAATAGATGCTTTCCGAGCACTGTTTTTCCTTTCCACATAGTTAGAAGGCACAAAACCCGTTTTATTCATGGAGTTTCGAACTCGCCACCAGGATTTAGAGTCATCCAGAAGCCATAATCTCTCATTCTTCTTAATGTCCAGCTCTTGTTCTTGTTGGGCCACATAATCAAATTTGGCTATTACCACCACTTCTTCTGCCATCTTTCAGCAGCTTCAGCACTGTAACCACATAGAGAACATTTTTTATGAGGTTTAATTAATTAGTAGTAGTATACATGCTTTTCAAATGAGATACATCAAAACCCTAAGAGCCCTGAAAGGATTAAAGGAAAAATACGAAAAAACACAAAAAAAACAGGCAATACTAATACTAATCAAAACAAAACTAGTGTAGCTATATTAATAACACACAAAAGGACTTTAAGGCAAACCATTACCAGTAATAAAGAAGTTCACTACAAAAACTAGTTCAATACATAATAGAAGATGTTATGAAATATATTTAACAGCTAAACTTATATGTACCTATTAACATAGTTCCAAAATAGATTGATAGAACCACAGGAAAAGTAGACAACTCCATTATCACAGAGGACAATTTTTAACATACTTATCTCAGTATAAATCAAGGAGACAAAAAAAATTAGTAAGGCTAGGTAAGAACTGACATCAAGGGGTGGCCCAGTGGTTAAGCACCAGACTCTTGATTTCATCTCAGGTCACAATCTCAGAGCTTGTGGGATGGAGCCCCATGAGGGGATCCATGCTTGGTAGCGCGGGGCCTGCTTCCTATTCTCTCTCTCCCTCTGCCTCTTCCCTGCTTGTACATGTGCACTGTCTCTCTCTCTCTCAAAATAAATAAACTTAAAAAAAAAAAAGAACTGACAGCAAAACCATTAATCTGATCTAATAAACATACACATATATTACTTCCAAAGATAATACAAATGGAATAAACATACAAATTGATCAAATGTTAGGCAATAGAGAAAGTCCCAGTAACTTTCAAGTACTTGGTATCCTACAACCATATTCTCTGACAACCATAACAAAAAGAGCTTTTTAAAAACCTCCTGTTTGGCGGGAACCCTCTTGCAATGTTGGTGGGAATGCAAATTGGTGCAGCCGCTCTGGAAAGCAGTGTGGAGGTTCCTCAGAAAATTAAAAATAGACCTACCCTATGACCCAGCAATAGCACTGCTAGGAATTTACCCAAGGGATACAGGAGTACTGATGCATAGGGGCACTTGTACCCCAATGTTTACAGCAGCACTCTCAACAATAACCAAATTATGGAAAGAGCCTAAATGTCCATCAACTGATGAATGGATAAAGAAATTGTGGTTTATATACACAATGGAATACTACGTGGCAGTGAGAAAGAATGAAATATGGCCTTTTGTAGCAACGTGGATGGAACTGGAGAGTGTGATGCTAAGTGAAATAAGCCATACAGAGAAAGACAGCTACCATATGGTTTCACTCTTATGTGGATCCTGAGAAACTTAACAGAAACCCATGGGGGAGGGGAAGGGAAAAAAAAAAAAAAAAAAGAGGTTAGAGTGGGAGAGAGCCAAAGCATAAGAGACTGTTAAAAACTGAGAACAAACTGAGGGTTGATGGGGTGTGGGAGGGAGGAGAGGGTGGGTGATGGGTATTGAGGAGGGCACCTTTTGGGATGAGCGCTGGGTGTTGTATGGAAACCAATCTGACAATAAATTTCATATATTGAAAATAAATAAATAAATAAATAAATAAATAAATAAATAAATAAATAAAGCTAAAAAAATAAAAAATAAAATAAAAACCTCCTGTTTGGAAACTTCTAAAACTTTATGAGTCAAAGAAGAAATTATAATAGAATTGTGAAAATATTTAGAGAAGTAAAGTAATAAAAAGACTATATAGCCAATCTGTGGGATGCAGCAAAAGGACTACATATAGAGAAATCCTAGTTGTAAATAGTTACATCAGAAAAATCAGAAAATCTTAAATTAATGAACTGAGCATCCGTCTTAAGCAGTTAGAAAAGTAAAATATAAAGTAAAAAAAAATGAAGTAATACAAATAAAAGTAGAATTTAATGAAACAGAAAACAATGATATAGGAGAAAGGCTCAATAGAATACAAAGGTAGTTCTTTGCCATGACTAAAAATGGACATAGTTTGGCAAGACTGATAAATGAATAAAGGAAAAACATACCCAAATACCAAGAATGAAAAGGGAGTCCTAATTATGGATGCTTCAGACATTCAAAACACCTGGCAATACTATAAGCAACTTTATTAATAAATCTGAAAACTAAAATGTGCAAATTTATAGAAAAATAAAAACTAAAAAGGTACTAGCATTCAATCTTAGTCATTAAGAAACCTTCCCATAATGAACATCCTGATGTTCATTAAAACCACACAGTTTTATAGGCAAGTTCTATTAAAATACAAGGAATTGGGGCGCCTGGGTGGCGCAGTCAGTTAAGCGTCCGACTTCAGCCAGGTCACGATCTCGCGATCCGTGAGTTTGAGCCCCGCGTCGGGCTCTGGGCTGATGGCTCAGAGCCTGGAGCCTGTTTCCGATTCTGTGTCTCCCTCTCTCTCTGACCCTCCCCCGTTCATGCTCTGTCTCTCTCTGTCCCAAAAATAAATAAACGTTGAAAAAAAAAATTTTAAATACAAGGAATTGTAATTCCAATTTACACAAACTCTTTCAGAAAAAAGAAAGGAAATTTACAAGTCTAACTCACTCTTGAACTTACTAGTTCAGCTCCCTACTTTCTTCAGAGAGATCATCATACATAAAAAGCTATCTCTGGCTTAGCAAGCAAATAAATTCAGCTTTTGGGTTTGGATATTGAATAGCATTCTCCTTTCTCAACAATGAAGCAAGTTGTTCAATGTTCTCAAAGAAATGCATTTTAATCTAGAATTCAACATTCACTAGCATTCAAGTGTAGATAGTTTTGTGTTTATAGGCAGATACTTTTTGGGGGGCAATGCAAGGCCTCAAAACCTACCATATATTCTTTGGAAAGAATGACTCAAGTATGTCAAGCAGTGAAATAACTAATAATGCTAAAATAAGAGGATGATGTAGTATTAAAAAAAACAATGAACAGGGAGAAATCAGAAAAATCAATTTGTATTCCTGCAACTTTTCTGTATGTAATTACTTCACTTCCAAATAAGTTACAACCAAGTCTAAGTAATTACTAGCACATGATGCAAAAATATACAGCAATGAGTGATAAATTTTCTGAGGCAATAAAAAGCAGAGGATTTTTTTTTTTCGGGCATACTTAAGCACTGACTCTGATTCCTTCCCTGTGGGAACCTGCATGTGCGCACACGCGCGCGCGCACACACACATACACACACCCTTATAATTAATCTATAAATTTAATGAAATTTAATTGTAGGTCCCAGTGGAATTTATTTTGAAATGTGACAAACCAAGTTTAAAATTTACTTAGAAGAGTAATCATATAAAACCGGCAAATGATATTTTATTAAATTTAAGATTTGGTATGATGGCGCTGTAGGTTGTATACCCAGAACTTTCTCATTTCCTCACAATATCTCCATTATCCTTCTAATTGTCACCTCACTATTATTGTTTTAGCCATGCACTTGGGGAGGACTGACTCTAGCTTCAAAGCTGTATTTGGGTTAATCAAAGTCATTCCTTCCCATCAAAAGGATAATAATAAGGGAATTCTATAAACACTCCACACACATAAATTTGACAACTTAGAGGAAATGGACCAATTCTTCAAAAAATACAAATTATCAAAACACACTCATTATGAACTATATAATTTGAATAGCCCCATAACTATTCAGGAAATTAAATTCATAATATAAAAACTTTACCCCCCAAAAGAAATCTTCAGGTCCAGATGACTTCACTCAAGAAATCTACCAACTATTTAAAAAACTTACACCAGTTCTACATTATGTCTTCTAGGAAATAGTAGAGGGAGAAATATTTCCCAATTTATCTTTGAAGTTGGTATTACCCTGATGTCAAAACTGGACAACAACAGTATGAAAAAATGACCAACCAATATCCCTCATTAATATGGACGCAAATATCCTTAAAAAATATATAAGCAAGTGGAATTCAGCAGTATATAAAAAGAATTAATATGCCATGATCCAGTAGGGTTTTTTCCAGGGATACAAAGCTGGTTCAATATTCAAATATTAAACAGTATAATTCACATTAACAAGCCAAGAAAAATCATATGAGCATATTACTCAATGCAGAAAAAGCATCTGACAAATTCAATACCCATGATAAAAGTTCTCAGAAAAACAGAAATAGAAGGGAACTTCCTCAACTTGATAAATGGGATCTACAAAAAACCTACAGCTAACAACATACTTAATGGTTAAAGACAGATACCTTCCTCCTACAATCAAGAACAAGGTAAAGATACCCACTCTCACTACTCTTAATCAACAAAGTGTTGCAAGTTTTAGCCAGTTCAGCAAGGCAAGTAAAGGATATAAACAACACACAGATCAGAAAAGAAGAAATAAAACTCTCCTTATCTGCAGAGGACATGACTGATGACACAGATTCTAAAAAAGCTACCAAAAAAACCCAAAAAAAAACAAAAACAAAAAAACTCCATCCCAGTACTAACTAGTGAATTCAGCAAGGTCACAGGACACAATATCAACATGCAAAAATCAACTGTATTTCTATATTCTATGAAGGAACACATGGACACCAAAATTAAAAATGCAATACCATTGGGGCGCCTGGGTGGCTCAGTCAGTTGAGCTTCAGATTTCGGCTCAGGTCATGATCTCACGGTCTGTGAGTTTGAGCCCCGCATTGGGCTCTGTGCTGACAGCTCAGAGCCTGAAGCCTGCTTCAGATTCTGTCTCCCCCTCTCTCTCTGACCCTGCCCCATTCATGCTCTGTCTCTGTCTCAAAAATAAATAAACATTAAAAAAAATTTTTTTTAATGTGATACCATTTATAATTACTAAAAATGGGAAAAAATGAAAGCGGTACAAAGCTAATAAAACATGAAGGAGACTATATGTTGAAAACTACAAAATGCAGATGAAAGAAATTAAAGAAAATCTAAAAGTGTTTCTGAAATGGAAGACACAGAGTAAGGACACTAATTTTTCCCAAATTGATACACAGGTTTACATAATTCTTATCAAAGTCCCAGCAAAATTTTTTTGCTTATATACACAGT